TATCGGTGGAGGATCAATCTGCAATCTCTGAGACCTCTACTAGGGATAATTAAAAAAATGATTGACTTGTTTGGCCTTTCGATAAGCGTGGGCGGTATTCGGTTAAGTCCAGATATCACTAGGCTCACTCGAGGTCAATTAACCCAACGGGCCTACGACCTCCCTCATCCCATATGGTTCCTGATCAGGTTTGGAAGTGCATTTGAGGCTACATGTTCCCCCTAAAATTCAAAATTTCATATGGAAATATGTCCATAGGGCACTCCTTTCCATGGCTGACCTGTTCAAGAGGAAGTCTTCCCCCTCCCTAATATGCCCCATCTGCAACAACTCTGAGGAATCTGTGGAACATATTTTTCTTTTATGACCATGGGTGGCTACAATTTGGTTTGGTGGGCAGTTAAACTACAGAGTTGACAGGAATTGGAACTTCATTTGGGTTCAATGGATTCTTTCCCTCTTAGTATCTTATTCGAGGTCTCATCTTGATAAGGGATGGTTGCTCTCCTATGCCGCATTCACGTGCTGGCACATTTGGAAAGCTAGGTGTAATCGCATTTTCAATCAAGTGGATATCAATCCTACTCAAGTTCTATTTGCCATCTCTATGTCGACAAGTGCTTTATTTGATGCCACATGTTGTCCTTCAAATCCTCAGTCTTCCTTCTCTGTGGTTACTGATCAGCTGACAACATGGACTCCCCCCCTCCCCGTACATTAAAATTAATGTTGATGCAAGTTGGAGTGCTTCAAATGGCGATGGGTATACATGGGTGGTGATGCAGGATGCTGAGAGGGGGTTTCTAGCGGCAGCCAGGTTCACCATTAAGGCTGGTTATGTTGCACAAGCAGAAGCGTTGGCCCTTCTTCATGGTTGTCAGTTAGGTCTCTCTCTGGGATATTTGGGTCATATTAGAATCTGATTCGTTTGAATCTATTTCATGCTTGAGAGATTCTTTGGAAAATGGTAGCTGGGAAGCCTACCCAACTTTGGCGAAAGTCAAACATCTTGAGGATGCTTTCCAGGACTGTCGCTGGTCTTGGGTTGCGTCGGCGAGATTCCCGGAGATGTGCGATGTTTCATGGGTCAATCGACCTTCATCTTCGTTGGTTCATATCCTGAACAAAGATGGCTTGCCATGTCTACCTTAATTTTGTTTCCGCATTGTAGGATGCGACGTTTGCATTAAATGCATCGTCTGTCTTCCATGTACCCTCCTACATTGCTAGTTCTGTTATGTGTTTCGGTGTTTGTTGCTTCCCTCGGTGTAGGCTTTGTTTGTAATCTTGGCATCCTTGCCTTGGAAATGATATTCCCAATTTACCAAAAATAATATATAATCTACACTAAATTTATCAAATTATGTAAGAATAATGATTATGTCTCTCAAATGAGAGGACTTGCCTGTTAGGGGTGGGTTCAAAAAATCGAAAACCGAATACTAAACCGAGGCCGAAAAAACCGAACCGAAAGTGTATAACCAGACCAAACCGAATCTGGTTCAATTTGGTTCGGTTTCTAGAGTTCGGAAATCAGACAGAACCGAACCGAACCGAAGTAAGGCAAAACGACATCGTTTCATATTTAATTATAAATAAATATTTTTTTTCCCTTTATAAATAAATATTTTTTTTCCCTTGAACGGTGTCGTTCAGTCCAATTTATCGCGGCACCTGGTGCCTACCTTTCTCTTCAGTCTCTGAACTTTGAAGCCCTAAACACTAAACAGAACCGAACCCATTCCTTTTCTCTTATCCCTCTCCTATGTACGTACTCTCTCACTCTGGACATCTCATTCCTAGCTAAGTTTTGCCGCTCTTCCACTTTGTCTTCTTCCTTCTTCCTTCCCAGCAACCTGTGACCTGTCTCACATATCGCCGTCGTTGTCTTACTCTCAGTCTCTCACCCCCGTGACTAATGACCTGCGACCCACGACTTCCTCTCGCCGTTTGGAGTCTCGAGTCTCGACCCACAAATTCCCTCCTTTGCAAGGTTAGTCTCTCACCCCCTGATGTGTTTTGCAGATTTTTTTTTTTTTTTAATTTCGTTGGTTTTGATGAATCTGATCTGTAGCTTTTCAATTTCATGGTTTTACAATTTGTTTTGGGTATGCTGGATTTGGTTAAGTAACTTCATTTATGAACACTATTAGACTATTAGTTAAGGTATGATGAATTTGTGAGAGTACATAGGGTTTGATTAATTAATTTATTTTGGGTATGTTGTTGGAGCCTGGATTTGGTTCTGCAGGTGCAGCTTTCAGTTAAGCAATATGATAATAAACTAATTTTAAGGGGGAAGAGTAGCTTCCTCAATTATATTAGGGTTCTCCTCATTCTCAGTTAAGCAACATGTAATTAAGTAACCAGATTGCATCTTTATGACTTATGAGTTGCATAATGCAGATTACTTGTTTGTTGTGTCTGAGAGTGTAAATAACTAGTTTAATCCATCTTATATGTTTTGTATCTTTTGATGATTATAGTCATAGACCTTGCACAAGATATGGTTATTTATTTTAGTTTTATTGGTGTAAACACTGTTTATGAACCCTCAAGATATGATTATAGTCATAGACCTTGTTTTTATGAACCCACAAGATAGTCATAATTTTCTATAAATATGCTTGTTGTTTAGTCATAGACCTTGCACAAGATATGTAACCCTAGAACTTATAATTTACTATGTTATGCACAAGATATGGTTACTTATTTTACCATTTCCAAAGCAATCTAGATTCTAGGAGACCATAGTAAGTGGTTTGTATCTTATCTTTGCTTCTTAATCAATGATGTACCCGTAACTTTTCCAAAGCAATCCATATCTTACCTTTGATTCTTAATTAGATGAAGTCAAGTGCATCAAAGGCCACCTTCGACTTATGATTGGAGTGAGGCGAGAATATTTGCATCCTTTTTGAGACCTTTCTATGAAGTCACTTTAAAAGTGTGTTGTTCTAATACTCCAACAATTCATACTACTTTTGATGATTTGTTTAAGATCAAAAGTCTCATCCTTGAAAACAAAGATAATGAATTCTTGTCTATGATCTCCATGTTGATGCGAGAAAAATATGACAAATATTGGGGTTCAATTGAGGATATGAATCAATATGTTTTTGTTGCACTTGTGCTTGAACCTTGCCATAAATTGGAGAAGGTGGTTGATTATTATGAGATACTATATGGCGAGGACAAGAAAAAAGTTGAAATTGCAACCAACGCCGTGAAAGATTTGTTGTTTGATCTTTACAAGATTCATGAAGAATTATCTTTTGATACACAACAAAGCACAAGTAGTAGTGGTATTTCTCAATCGGCAACTACAAGTGGAGATCCTTATCAAGCATGACAGAGATTGAAAGAAGGTTGAAAGAGAAAAGTGAAATGAGAAAAGCAAAGAGAGTTTGTATTGTACACAATGATTTGGATAGGTATCTTTCGGACCCTAATGAAGGGGAAGAAGAGACAAACTTTGATATCTTGAATTGGTGGAGGGTGAATGGGCTTTCTAAGAATCTTATTTTGGCATGAGTTGCAAAAGAGATTTTAGCTATTCTCGTATCAACCATTGCTCCGGAATCCTCCTTTAGCACAAGTGGACAAATAATTGATCCATATCGTAGTTCTTTGAGTCCAAAAATGGTGGAGGCTTTGATATGTACACAAAATTGGCTTAGGTCAATTCTTGTAGCATTACATCATGAGCCAACCATTGAGGAGATTGAGTTTTGTGAAGAAGTTGAGAAAGGTAATTTTACTTATTGCATTTGGTTTTGTTAGACTATTTTAATTAGATGCTATGTTGCATGCTTACTTTACATCATGTTCCTTTTTTTTTTTTTTTATTTTATTTTTTATTTGTATGTAGAAATGGCAAGTGGAAGCTCAAGGAAATGTGCTATGTTGCCTCCTAAGCCGCCTAAGCGTTGAGCTTGAGCTTGAGGACTTGGAAGATTTTATTTGTGCAAGACATGAAGTGATGAAACCTTGAAGGTTTATTTGACTTTGTGATGTTTAAATTTGGACTTTTTGAAGGCTTAAACTTGATTGATGATTCTAGTTGGGCTTTAAATGTTTATTTTCATTGTCTTTGATTCTATTCTAGTTGGAATTCTTATGTTATGATTGTTGGAGATGTTAAAATTTCATATTTCAAAATTTTTCATTTTTGGAGACTTTTATGAGACTTTATGTTTTTAGATTAATTAGTAACTTCCCTCATGAATATTGAAAAACCGTGAGCCCATCCCTGGAGGGATGGAAACATGTCATATCTTATGGTTGTTTTGCATTTTTTGGAAGAAGAAGAAGATGAAGAAGAAGAAGAAAAAAAAAACCGAAACCGAACCAAAAAAAAAAAAAAAAACCGAAAAAAATTGAACCAAACCGAAATTTCGGTTCAGTTTCGGTTTTGGCCAAAAACTGAACCAATAAGAACCGAACCTAAGCCCTATTGCTTGTCCCCCCCCCACTACTAAGCTTAACCAACCTTTATTGTCCGAACATTATAATTGGTACTGTTCATTTTCTTTGTCCTCATCTAAATATCATATATACTAAAAATTATTCAATTTAGAGATCTTTTAATCATTTATATGCATAAAACAAATAAATAGTTCATTATTGGGAAGACAAACTTGAAGACATAACACTTTTGTCAACCATTTTTAGAGAATGCCACGTATACCTTTTTCTTCTAAAATGTACAATATTAAGATGAAAAAATATACAACCAAAATAATATATGTCACAAGTAGTGTCGTTAAAATCTTGCTTGGACTTTCAACCTAGTAAATTATGGGTCCCCGTATACATAATGATAACAGAGTGATAAGCTGGTCTAATTTAAAGGGAGCGTATGAGTAGATTAGGGTGCAATGAATAGCCCATTTTCTTATTAATAATTTCCAAAAATGGAAGACAAATCTAAGTTAAATATTATTGAGTAATAAATAAACTATAGACTAAAATAAATAATAAAGGGAAAAATTACAAGCTTCCTTCATCAAAGGCAGTTTCACGCTTCCTCTCTCTCTCTCTCTCTCTTTTCTTGTTTGTCTCTCTAAAGGTCTCCAGTGTCTTCCAACACATCTCAAAAGCTGCACAGTGACTGTTGCCTGAAACCCCGCACTCTACAGGTTTAGGGTTTGCGCTCCAAATTGAACCAATATTCGATTTCGAACCCCCGCATTCCCATTATTTACGCCACCTTCCCTTCCTCTTTTTCCAGCCTCCTCTCCCCGAACAGCACTCTGCCGCGCGCGCTTCCGCAATCCGATCGCGGAGGGCGAATGGCATTTCCAGTAAATAAGCTGGAAGAGTGAGGGCGGTTGTTCTGGATGGGCATGGTGAAGGCGTGGCGGTTCAGCTGGACTCCGGCGACAGCGAAGCTGGCTCTGTTACAGCAGCACCACCAGAACGGCTTCAACAATGGCGGCGAGAAGAAGCACGTGCTGAGCTTGAGATCACCCGCCCCGGCCCCCGCCATCGCCATCGCCACCAAAATGACGCCGTCGCTGTCGCAGAAGGAGAGGAAGCAGACGGTGATGTCGTGGTCGTGGTCGCTGGTGTGTGGGCTGATGCTGTTTGGGCTGGGCCTGATTTCGCTCTTCACCGGTCACGTGGCATCTGATCTCGAGTGGTACTCCCAGCGCTTGGTCATGAACACTTCATTAAGTTCATTCTACACAAAGCGGGTACTGCACCGCTGCTCCTCCTCTTTCCTGTTTTATCTTTCAATATTTAAAAATTCTTCAAAGTTTTGATTTTTAATTCAAATGAGTTGAAAAAGAATTGTGGGTTTTTGAATTTCAGAATGGAAATGGTCGTGAGGCAATTGATGTTTGGAAGTCCAGCTACTCGAAATTCTACTCCGGGTGCAGTCAAAGAGGGCCTCGCTATGCTCGTGAGTTCGATTTCCATATTTCATGTTTGCATTGTCAATTTTCCCTTGTTATGTTCGTGTTTTCAACTTGAAGTAATTATCTTTCGAATTCAGCGGCTGTGAAAGAGCGATCGTCAAATGGGTATTTGCTGATTGCAACAAGTGGGGGGTTGAACCAACAAAGAACAGGAGTAAGTCACATTGTTGTTTTACTTGAGTAATTATTTGTCTTGTCAATGCTGAAAATAGTAACTTATTTCCTGCAATCAGATAACAGATGCAGTCGTGGTTGCCCGGATTCTTAACGCTACCTTAGTTGTACCCGAGCTGGATCATCATTCCTATTGGAAGGATGACAGGTAATGTGGTTCTAACAAGGTTTTAGCTCCGTCAATTAACTTTTCTGTATTACTTTCTGTTTCTCTTTAAAAGAATATCATTCTAGTGTTGGTAGAAAATTGGCTTTTGAATTATCATCCCATTAAATACACTAATGTTGTATGCAGTGACTTTATCCACATTTTTGATGTCGATTGGTTCATGTCTTATCTTGCAAAAGATGTGACGATTGTCCGGAGAGTTCCTGAGAAAGTCATGCGGAGCATGGAAAAGCCTCCATATACCATGCGTGTGCCAAGGAAATCTGAACCTGAATATTATATTGAACAAGTTTTGCCTATACTCTTGAGGAGACGTGTAAGACCCCGTTGCTATTATCTGATGGTTATCTTATTCAGTGGTGTACAAGATATCCTAAATCCATTGTCTCCATCTGTCTTAGTAAAAACACTGTAGTCTGTTTCAGAATGGCAGTTAATACTTTCGCAATTTGGCAGGTTTTGCAATTGACAAAGTTTGATTATAGACTTTCAAGTAACCTTGACGATGAGCTGCAAAAGTTGCGTTGCCGTGTTAATTATCATGCACTTAAATTTACAAAATCTATACATGAACTCGGTCAGAAACTTGTTATGAGAATGCGAAAGATGGCAAAACGTTTCATTGCTGTTCACTTGAGGTTTGTCTCTATTGCCTATTAATTTACAAGGGAGCTGATATTTTTAAATTTCAACTTGAATCTAATGTTCATGGAGGATAGGAGTGTGTAAAGGCCATCTCTGCCTACAGGATCATAGGTAGTGTCTGTTTCACAGAATGGAATTCTAGTAATCGCCACCATAGTTTACTATATAGTTGAACTGGAGATTGGGAATGGGAAAGCCACCTCTTCCTTTCAGGGTGGAAAACCTTTTTTCTTTTTTGTGGGTTTGTGATACCCATGGAAAGACCATGTCATTCTCATCTGCATTTACCAGTCATGGGGAATGCATGTCAAACCCTTCCAATGCGCACCAAAGCGCGGAAACTAACACTACCTTAGAATACACCTTGTATAATAACCAGAATTATGAGTTTTCACATTTAGAATTTTGTAGCTTGTCTTGTTATTTTCCCTTTCTGGTTATATCCATTTATTGTACCAATATGATCTTCACAATCAGTTGTTTTCTTCTTAAAGAACTGCTATCCTTTCATGATGCGTATGATTGAAGTTCTGTTGTTGTTTTTGGATTTCGGATGACACTCATTAATGACAGGTTTGAACCTGATATGCTAGCATTTTCTGGGTGTTATTATGGCGGGGGTGATAAAGAGAGAGATGAGTTTGCTGAAATAAGGAAACGATGGGCGACATTACCTGTGAGATTGCTGTTGTTTTATAATTCTGATTCATACTAATCTCAACGAGAATTATGATAGATATTATATTCTCTTGTGTCTTATGTGTCATATGTGCTTTTGTATTTATATGAAGCTCATGTGACATTGCATTGTAATTGCCATTATATAGTGTGCAATGCTGGTGATGTTGGCACAATTGGCTCCACACTGTAATTTGAATACCGGTGTAATTTTTCTTATTATTCATTTAGGATTTAAGCGCCGAGGAAGAGCGAAAGCGAGGAAAATGTCCACTGACTCCGTATGAAGTGGGTTTGATGCTGCGTGCACTTGGTTTTGCAAATGACACGTATCTCTACATTGCTTCTGGAGAAATATATGGTGGGGAAGAGACTTTGAGACCACTAAGAGAGCTCTTCCCAAATTTTTACACAAAGGAGATGCTTGCTAGTGAGGAGCTGAAACCTTTTCTTCCATTCTCCTCCCGTCTTGCTGCAATTGACTACATTGTCTCTGACGAAAGTGATGTATTTGTCACTAATAATAACGGGAATATGGCCAAGATTCTCGCAGGTCGAAGGTTAGAAATTTATTTCACTATTACATCAGCCTTTCTGGGAATTGAACTAATGCATGAAAAAAAAAAATATATATATATATATATATATATATTTTCCAAAATGATACTAGGGATCAGTAAATTATGTATAAATTTGATCTTGGAGAATGCTGGTGCAGTAATTACTGCTCTATCACGGTAAACTTAAAAAAGCATGACAGTGTTCAACCACATTTGAAAATTTTGAGCAAGCCTAAGCTGTAACATTTGACAGAACTAATTAACAAATGTACTGTCGTCTTTTTAACTTGAAGTTATTTTGTTTTGAAGTTTCAAGTATTTTTGTCCTTTATTTTCTTTCTTATGTTTGCTTATCCTTTGTTCCTTTTACTAAATGTTTAAAAGAGGATTTCTGCTAGGTGCTAGACAGACAGCAAAACATCTTATCTTCTCTCCATCAACTGTTCCATATTTCATTGTGCATTTTGATGTCTATGTAACTCCTAATTGCTTGTGCTAGAAAATTCATTGTCTTTCCAGTTCAAACTAGTTTCTGTGGGATTTAACTCCTTTGAATGCAGGTATACGTGACATTGGGGATACTAATTGCTCCCGTAACTTGTTCCCCAAATTTAGACTTTGGCTAGATTTGCGGAAATTTGATAATTTTCTATCCTTCAATTGAGTACTGGTATACTAAAAAACTTTCAACAGTGAAATCATTCCAATTGCAGTAAGTTTGCATCTTAAAATGGTTAATAAATCTTATAGATTAAGATCTTGCTATCCTCAAGTAAACACTGTGATATTGTCTAGTAGTCTAGTGTATATTCGTTTAGTTGACTTCCCAGCTGAATAACCTTGCGTTGACATCCATCGGTGACGAGGAGAGATTTATTTCAACTGAAACCCTAGTATAAAGATCTCAGAAATTTTTTGTGTAGTTTGATATCATGGTCATTGTCAAATTAGATTTGTAATTTGTGCAACTATTTCTACTTGTTATTTTGTTTCTTATTAAATTTAATCCTTTTCATTTTGAGAGATTTCTTAACCATGTGTTACATTTTTTGTTTTATCGTTTATAGGAGGTATATGGGTCACAAGCGGACCATCAGGCCAAATGCTAAGAGGCTTAGTGCTTTGTTCATGGCTAGGCATCAGATGAATTGGGAAACATTTTCAAAAAAAGTAAAGTCATGCCAAAAAGGATTCATGGGTGACCCTGACGAGGTGAAACCTGGTCGGGGTGAATTCCATGAATTTCCACAGGCTTGCATCTGCCAGAAACCAGTTCAAAGATATTGAAAAGAGCAACGACAGAGATCATCACGCGGCAGGAAAAACGAAAAGTACATATAATGTAGAGAAACCAGGTGAGAAGGCTTTACAAATTTCAATCAAGAGGAACATGGGAAAAGAGCGCTTATCTTTAGGAGATGACGAAAAGGATGAAGTTTTCCCAGACTAAAGGGACGAAGAAAGGAAGCAGGCTAAAAGGAGACCAACTAGGTGGTGGTTGGACGGATCTCTCATCTAAACTGATCGGCTATGGTGGTGACTTGCCTCTTACTATGGCAATTTTTTCATCTTGCCAGCCCCAAATTTCATGCACGGGGTGACGCCATTACACAGGTTATATCTGGTTGCTGTTCTATCTCCGTCGTGAATGAATGTATTCAATCCATGTACAGGAGAGAGTTTCACCGAGCTGCAATTGTTTATAAATTAGTTTTGCTAGTAAATAACTCTAGCCGGGGCAGAAACCCATCGCTTGCCAGGTTCTGTTGCATTAACAAAGTTCCCCGAATGTTTTCTTCTCTTTTATTCCCCCACTTTCTGGGTTCCAAGTTTCGGTAACGAGTGTAAACAGGTTGATTTATAGCTTCAATATCCTCTAGTTTCTTTCATTTTCTTCGTCTATTTTTTTTTTTTTTTTTTTTTTATATCAACAATTGTCGTTCATGTGATTTAACATCGGGACTTTCCCAACATAGTGAAAATCGGTTGCAACTAGAACAAGTGTTTATGATCGGCGTCTTGAACTTTATTTACATGTCATAGCCGCAAAGCTAACACTCTAGGGATAGGTTGTGTCTAGTTCCTAACTAATCTCTTCTTTAAAGTTACGATAACTTGCAGGAATTCCTGTCATTCTCATTTATGTCATATCGTGCATTTATTTCCAAGTAATGAAAGTTCGTCTCACATTGATTTAGAGTATGACATACCTGGAAAATCATTTATGGAATAACGAGAGCTTGTTTACCTCGTATATCCTTGTGACATTCATTCTCATACTGGTTCGTAGTTCTTCAACTTTTCAGTAAACATGTCATCGATTCTCAATGAGATATTTAGGCTACCAAAAGAACTTGAGTAGCATCTTGCAGTTCTATTGTCTAAGAACATATACCCGTACACCCAAAGTTGCAATTCAACGGCCTGCCTTTTGCTCAAATGACGAGTAAGAACAGGGTAATGGAAGGTTCAGAGTCCTATTCTCTCCAATGTAACAAGAGAAAGTAAGTTCAATACCATATCTCTTGCCAATCTGCCAAGTGATGTACGTTTACAAAAAATATTCTCTCGGTCACCTGATGACCAAAGAACGTATGGTTACTTTAATCTTGGATTTGATACCAAGAATAAAAACAAAAGATTGAAACAGTTGCATGTATAAACTAAAAACAAAAGAATATTATAAGATCTAGCTCCCTCTTTGCGCATGCAACTGCTTCTCTTGATGAAGTCTGAAGGAGCATTACTCAGACTGCTGTATGAATTCAACCTGGACTAGAAAAATAGAGCTCAAACATCGAAACTTCGACAGAGAAATCGGATTTTTCTTCAATACTACGTAGCATTGAATGGTTGGAACAATAAATATTTTAGCCAGATTATAACCATGCTATGCATAATGTCGACGAATGAGATGACATAATATTAAATATCCAAATGGACAAAACAGTAACAGGTTATATGATTAATCATCTGAAATCCTTCCTTGCATTACAAGCCAAACTAAATGGATAATTTTCCATATACAACCTATCTGGGCGAAAGACCACCTACGGAAACCATAATTTGTAAACTAAAATGGCTATAAACATCTACCGACTACATTTTATGACTGACCAAAATCAAGGAAGCAAGAATTTCCATCCCTACGCTTATCCTCCTCTATGATCAATATACACAACTACGCACGAACATGTTGGCCTGGTCATCCAATAATTGACGATCCTCAGACTGGAATCCATCATTTGCAGAGCTGCTCCTAACCATTGTTATTCCCTGTCACAATCAAAGAGTCAGAAAACACAATCACATTCACAAAAACAAGAACATATGTGCTGCAAATTATCCGCAGAGAAAAAAACCCCGGGGGATAAAATTTAACCTTTAGAGGCATTCCGGTTCTGACTTCTGTGGCCCTTGTCATGTGAAACAGAAGGAATCTTTGAGATGATCAACGAGCTTTGCAGTCCTTCTAGTAGCTGTGGCCAACAATGTGATCATCTCAGATTTACAGTTTTGAATATAAAATAAGAGAATGTTCACATAGATACCAACGAGTGAACAAGCAACAAAACTAGCATAAATGTTGTACATGGATACCAACGAGTGAAGGAAAATGTTTTAATATGAACAATAAAAGTAACTACAATTTTCTTAAATCAGAGAGATGTTGGAAGAAAATTTAGGGGCATTTTACATGCAAGCCCTTGATAACATAGCACTTTCGAAAGCACTTCAAACTCAATACTTGAGGGAAACAACCCAGCTTACTTTGTAACAAGAGAAGGGCACCAAAAGAATTTCACAGCAATCAATCAATTAGCGCATGACAAGTTGATGGATGGGGTTTTTTTTTTTTAAATTTGACCGCTTAAGTGTTTTTGTATAAAACTTAATAGTTGTAGAAATGATTTTTCCAATTTACTAATAATTTTACAAACCTACACTACAATTAGCAATTCAACTTCCAATAACATCCTGTACAAGTTCTGCTGTAACATCACCAACTTTAAATCAAAGTAGCAGATAACCAAGGGAACCATCCTCAGATTGAGATATAATCAGACTAAAGACTTGATAAACCATTTACCACGATGTTTATCGTAACAAACGAAAAAGCATCTAGATGCAAAACAGAGACCAAAATATATCTAAATGCTTACTCTTGATGTAGGTTGAATTCTGCGATTTGATCTACGAGGCTCAACAACTTCAGCAGTCGACTTTGCCGGATTTCCGCTAAACACTTTGCCCTCCTCAATTTTACCCAACCTTCCAAAAGCAGGTGCAAGTTTTCCTTTGTTTGCCCGAGATTTAGCAGTTAAAGTGGAGACTTTCTTAAATGAAGAATCAGATGATGGAGCTAGTGAAGAAAATTCAATTTGGCCCTGTGTTGTTTGTGATAGGGTATGCTTTCCAGATAAACCCTCGGCACGGTTTACAGAATCTTTGATCTTTCCTGTATTGTCCATTTCACTTGAACCATCAGAGGCACTGCGTGCATCTGTTAAGAGGTTGTCCTTCTGTGCGGCAGATTTACCTGACAAACTTTGCAGCTTTCCAGATCTCAGACCCTTTAGCTTGGATTCTGCCACTTGTTTTTCCCTCTTGTCAATTTTAGATGTATTTTTCAATCCACGGGATCCTTGAGGCATCAAGTATTTCGGAAATTTCACCGAATCACTAGTTTCATTAGTCTTGTTACTCTCATTTTCCACATAATGTTTGCTAACTTCCATGAATTTTCTCTTCTTTCCAGGCTTGGGAATACCAAAAACAACCCCCCTTGATCCTTCCTTCTGCAACCCTGTTCGAATTGTTCTGGTTGCATCAAGCTTATTCTCAGTTCTCGTATTCGTACCCATATTAAATACTGTTTCATTTGCAGATAAATTCAGTAACCTTGGGTCTACAGGTTTCCCTGAGTCAACAACATCAATGCCTTTTGATGTGCTATCCTTCCCTTTGCCTTCCACTGCAGGACTGCCCAATTTGGGTCGCTTTTCCTGAGGCATATCACCCTGAACATCAAATTGCACATCAGTAAAATAGAAATAAAATTGACTTGAGAAGTTTTCAACAATCATATGATATTAAAGCATGAAGCTATATAAACATAGTACCTCAAGGAAGGAGGTGTCATTTCGCACACTAAACCATTCAACCCATTTGCCATCCTTCCAAATGAGAGAAGGCCGAAGATGCCAAGCTTTAACAACTGACTTTTCCCCTTGAGCTGTAAGAATTCATAACAGGAGAGTATCCAATCAACTAACAGTAAGTTTCAAATAGTACAGTAGGAAGCATTTAGATGAAGTGACTTAATGAAAGCAACCCCACCCAAGAAAATAACAGTAATAACAATTCATACACACCTGGAAAGTGGACAGTTAATATAGTTTCATCTTTCTTGTTTTTCTCAGTGACAACTCCTTCCCACCAGCTGAAAAAATAAGTAAATACACGTAATGTGTTGCAAATGGGATAATATCAACTGAAAAGTCCAAAAAATAGATGTGGAAAATGGAAAAACAGAATCAAAATCACAGTTAGTGCAAGAAAAATAGTAAGACTGAATGCGAGTTTGCAACCACCAAATGCACTAATATCTAATATATCAACACTACCAAGTTGCTCTGAAACCCAAGACTAGGCATGCTTAAGATAGTGAAGAAAGATGTAGGGAATGTATATCCAAATAAAGGAGAGTTGCAAAGCAAAATTCATCTAGTAATGGAAAAAGCAACTCACAAAATATAAGGGCTCATTTGGAAGTACTTTTAAAATGACTGAAAGTGCATTTAGAGAAAATGTTTTTAGATTTTAAAAGCGCTTCCTGCAAGAAGCACCGGTTATGTGCTTATTTAGGAAGCACTTCAAGCACTTTTTCATGATTAACTGGCATTTTCACTAAAGATTGATTCCAAAAACATTTTCACATAAAGCGCTTTAAGCCATTTTAAAAGCAGTTCCAAACAAGCCCTAAATCTTTTTGTGCATGCTAAAGGAAATTGCAGGCAGTACAATTATATTAATCTTCATATAAAAATTTCTCTAGCAAGATTATCTGCAAGAGCAATCAATTTTTTTGAATTTTATAACTTGCGCTTACCTCTCCTGTATCCATGCATCAACTTTATCTCCAACAGACCAAGTATAATCCGCCATCGCTGCTCTGCGCCTTTTCCTTGTTCCGTCGTGTCCCAAAGCAGTAACAGGGCGGGCAATTCGTATCTTTGGTGGCTTATCTTCTTCACCTTCAAGTGCCACCCATTCCTGCAGTTTCCCTGAACCAAGTAGATGAGAAACCAAGTGTGTAAGTGACCGTGCACAAGCAATAGGCATAACATCTTAATAACAAAGAGTTCTATTTATGAAATATATGATTAACAAAATGCATCCAACCAAACAAACTCCTAATGATAAACGGTCAACATGAAATTATCACTTAAAAGAAAACCAGTAACACCAACATGAGGCAAGGCATGTTGAGGTGGTATACCTTCATCTGACTGAAGCTCAGTGTAACACACACAGGCTTTTCCATCCTGCAAACACAATACCTTAGCAGTAAACCAGGCTTCTCCAAATCCAGCCCCATCTTTGAGAACCTAAAAGAAAACAAGTCAATTTTATGCTACGGCCATAAAGCACATTGAAATGCCAAGCTTCACAAGAAAGATGGCACATGAACATATAAACTGCTGTAAACAGTCCAGTGAACGGAAAAAAGCTAATCTCTATTTTTTTGAGGGGAAAAAAAAAAAAAAAAAAAAAAAAACTCCAAACCATATCAGATCACACCTCAGCTTCATACCTCTACTAGAGAACCCTCCTTGATGCTGCTTTCTTCAGATGCTTCTGCTTCCTTTTCAAAATCATTCTCGAC